GTGTTCGATGCTAATTGCAAGCAAACAGTTAGATCGATTTAACGAAAATTTCAAAGGTAAGGTGGAAATTTTTAACAAAAAAATCTTCAAGAACAAGCTCAAGTATTTACGCAAATTATTGTACATTGAAGTAAATCTAATTATTTCGATTCATTTGGGTATTTTGCTAGTTAAAGTGTTAAAGAATCGTTAAACCGAATTAACTAAATCGGTTTTTACTTCATTTGATGTGACTACGAAAGTAATAACCCAAGCCAAATTGGTTTTACTAATCAAACTTTCCCTCAAACGCTAATCGCTGTATTCAGACAAACATACTTTAATCGATTCCAACAAGAACTACTTTTAGAAGGGAAATAAAAAAAAAAAAAAAAAAAAAAGAAGAAAAATACAATCTCATTACTTTTTCTCTGCAATGGTATATAAGCTTTAAAAATATTTAGTTACCTCTACGTGTGTTACGAATATATATGCAATGGAATTATAATATGCGTCTTTTTTATTCTCTTGAAGGAAATAAACTAATACAGATTTAATCTTCTTCCATCAACATGATGTGTTTTAATATATAAATTTGAAATATACGAAAGTGCAAAATAAAAGCGTATATTACAACTACTACTATAATATATGCAAACGAGTGAAGCATATTAAATGCGTTACTCTGTTTATGGTCTTTAAAAAAAAAAAAAAAGAAGAAGAATCGGTTGAGTAATCAACATTATATCTCGTATCCATTTCTTAAAAAAAGCAAAAGCTTTAAAAATGAAAAGATAACCATGTGCTCTCCGTAAACGTTATACGTGCCATCCATGAATTGAAGAAAAAGGTGAAAATTTATTTTATCATATAGTTAATGTCTTACAGTCATTGAAAAGCTTTGCGTGAAAATAATTTGAATTGATTGGCTCGCACGCTTACAATTGGCAGAAATTTGATCGCTTTGGCCGGTGCGTAAGATTAGCTTCAGAGTTAGTATAACTTTTTGATAGGTTGATTCAATTACGTATATGTACGGTATGTATATACGCTTATAGCTTTAGAGTAAATTCAAAGTAAACCTAAATCGTAAAACAAGTGAAAGCATAGTGTAGTGAGGTACAACCTACAATTAAATACCATTCATCACTCTATAGGTATTCATGTAGCGGTTTTTTTAAAATGCGGAAAGTGGGCGAAAAAGTAATCCAATCCGAATCATTTTCAATAGCGTTCGTCTTTGCAGCGAACCATGCCGATATATTAAATTTTATGAAAATATTTCGCAAATTGTCGTCTATAGGTTGAATAAAAGGAAATAAGACGAGCCGACGGACAGATAAGCTCAAAAAAATGATTCTTAATTGTACGGTATAATAAAAGATGGGTCTATCTCAACTCCTTCTGGGCATTACATATATTCTCACAAACGTAATACACCCTTGTACCGCAAGTGGTGTGGAATACATTTATTTATTTATATATTTTTTGGTTTTAGGTTAATAAGCAGTCTCTGCATTTATATGAATTTAATTAACGTAATAAATAATAATATTATATCCATCATATATGCCAAGCTTAAGCATTTATCTCTGGGATTTTGCAATTCTGAGAAAGTCGAAAATAAACAGGCGAGCACATGGATTTACCTAAATTCATATACAATTTTCTGCATCTCATGTACTTTACGCCAGTCGCCTAAAAGTCATTTATATGACAGCGTACTCTCATTCTTGTAGTGGTAGATAAAAAAAACCATTGAATTTGACGTATATGAAGGATGCTGTGTAAACTTTACGCAAAAGCTTCAACATGAATAAAACTAAAATTTGTTGCCGGAAATTGTGTCGTTGATAAGCGAGTAATGTCTTCAACGATATATGTAGAAATTGAAAGTTGATTACATATATAGAAACCAATGCGATGATTTTTTTTTTTGTCTTATCGTTATCCAAATTTAGAACGAGTAGAATACAATTATATTAAAAGCATGTCAATGCTTTTATTATTATTGTTTATCTACTATCGGTAACGTTGGTTACCAAAGAAATCATCAAATATTATCTTCGTTCAAAAAAAATGAAGCGTAGAGACAAGTGAAGAAGGATGAAACGAAGCAATGGGAGAGGGAAAAGAAGCTACTGAAGTTATGAATTCAACAACGAAAACTAAAAAGGAAAAAAAAATTTATACCATTTTTTCATAATTTTTTTCAAGTAAATATAGATACAAAATAAAGTTTTGCAATGAAAACTCAAGCGTATGAAATATGCAGCATTGCTAACTGCGTTCACTTTTATATGGCAAGAGGTTGTCATTGTGAATGCATACAACGAACAAGTTTTTTTTCTTTGAGAGTTTTCCCATTTTTTTACGTTGTCGGTCTAAAACAGCGAACGGATATCGACATTGAGTTTTGAAGAATTGTAAACACAAAAAAGAAAAACGAGAATTTCATCATACAAGTTACACAAGTCACGTTGTTAAGGAAATCTATTGAATGGATAGCTAGACCTTGCTCAGCTTGCTGTCCCAGTGCCAGTGAGTTGTAATAAAAAAAAAAAGCAAAAAATCATTCATTGATCAACTAATGAAAGGAAATTGTCTCTTAATACTTTAAGCAATGGTTTTTTATTATCTTACTTATGGAATCATTTTTTTTAGATTAGACAGTGTACGTGATATTATGTTAATATTAATAAAGCTAAAATTCAATATTCAACATATCACTAAATACTATAAACTTATTTTTATAGAATGTAGAAAGAGAAAGATAATGCCTATGCTCTGTCTTTGCTTTAATAAATTAATCATTTAACGAGAATCGTTAAGCTTTTAAAATCTCTCTTCAGTTATCTGATGCGAAATGTTTGCACTGCTGAAATCTTACTTAAGAATCTAATCACAAACTTGTATAGCTTGCTCTTATGTATGACATCTATAACATATGCACCGCTCCTGTCTATCTAGTTCTAATAATCCCATGATAGAGATGAAATAAAAATAATATCATATTTTCCCAACTAATTCAGGCAAGAGAGGATTTGAGTCCCTACGCAGAGGTACTCAATCTGTTTTCAATTCCCGGAACTTATTATTATGAATCATAATGCGAGGTACAACAATGTTGTTTGTCGTGTCCTTCTTAACGTTATTTTATATTCGACCAGCTCTGAGATTCTTTCTAGCAATGCCTTATTAGCCCTAATGCGAATCAGATTTCAATAAATTTTTTTTACCTTATCGAGCTTCCCCTTATATCTAAGCTTCTAGCAGACGTTTTAGACGGCGGATATTAAAAAGTTGTATTGGAGATAAACAGAGAAACCATCCATGGTGGAGAATTTTCCCCCACAGGGCGGGTTCGCCAATTCGCTGCAGTTTGTCTCTTCTTGTTTGTCAAGTCTACTCTGAGGTGATTTTTTAAGAAGCTATTCGAACAATCGAAGCTAGCCTTAAGGCCTATGGACAAGTTTTCAATAACACCCGATATGCAGACGATATAACTACTCCAACAGATAATATGCAGGAATTGCACACGGGCGGTTTAAGCTGGAAATGTTCCCAGCAACAACTTTGGGCTGAAGCTAAATATCAGTAAAATCAATTTTATTATCGTAATACGATCGAAAATCTCATATGCAAATGCCACGCTATCAACAAATAACCATAGCGCAGGAAGGATTTCCAAGTTTTCCAGAACTTCCCTATTGCACGAAGACTGGTCCGGCGACATAGATATAAAAAGAAGGACAGAAATGGCTGGAACAACGTGCACGAAATATCAGAAGATTCTCTCAAGCCGGACAACTAGCTTATCTTTTCGCGTTCGTTTCATGAAAAGTGTTTTATCGTCGATGCTGCGAGGTATGTGCTTTAAAGCTCAATTCGATCTCGTTATAAGTTCACTTTTCCATTCTGTAAAACAATACATTTTTATCTCCATCAGAAATGATTCCTAAGAACATAGTTAACAGTTTGTGAATCATGCAATTAGTTTGGTTGTGTGTCTACCTCAATCTCTTTGTCTACTAACGAAGCAGTGTGTAAAATTTGTTATTATCACTTTCCTTAGGCGAGAAATTCAAGTAAAGCACCAGATAGTTATCAAAACACGAATCATATATAGGTCGACGTATAGCATAAGCATTGTGTGTTTCCTTTGTACAATTACCTCGGAAATGCTAAGAAGTCGTTACACAAATGAAACGAATAATTGAAAATATCGTATCGTATCGTAACGAATCTTCATTCTATTTTACAACTAAAACTGGTGTCTTCATAAAAGTGCTTAGTTACAATAGGATACGAGGTACAAACACGTAGTTGATTTGGTTAAGTTTGGCTAAAGTATCAGCATACATATAACGGACCCGTTGAGAGATGCGAAAATTATATAGATAAGAACAACACTAACCAAAGCTATGAGAAGAGAGAGAGAGAGAGAGAGAGAGGTGACGGTCATGTGACAACAGTTGTTCAATTTTTTAATGAACTATTTTCAAAAAAAAGGGACTCAGTTAGTGGTGACAGTAGGTGTTGTATGCGGACATTTTCGATCACTTTGGTAAAAAATATATCTCTCCTTATGTGACCAAATCTCGTTTGAACTTTCAGTTTATCCGAAATGTAATAAGAATTTTCTACCGAGTTTTAATTTCTCTCTTCAATTTTTAGGCCACAGCGATTTGATCAGTACGAATTTCTGTATTAATTAATAAGCCTTGCCCGCTCGTCTGTGTGTTCGTGTGGGGTAAATTTGATAGAAAAATTGGTAATTTTCGCACGCAGGTTGGTATTGAAAAGGGGCCAAATTGGGGCAGTACAGAAGCCCGCAGTGAATTTTTTCTTAACAATACTTTTTAGACAGGCAAAAAGTGAAAAATAAATTTTATCCTATTCATGTTTTTATGATAATAAATGAAAGTATGAGGCGGCAAAGATTTTAATGGGTAGTGGGTATGCGAGATTCGGCATCCGCCGAAAATAATTATTGTACTTGTTAAAATTATTTTACTTACCTCGAAACTAACAATGCCACTATGATCTTGATCCAAAGTATTAAACACATAATGAGCATACAATGTAGGATTGGCTGTAGAATTAAGTAAATAAAAACAAAGCGAAGAATAATAATAAGTTTACATTAGCTTATGAATATATATATGAATGTATATATATAGTAAATAGAAATGAAAAATTAATTACACAGATATGCGATAAAGTACAGAGAACATGTAGACACCGAAAACAAACATTGATAATTAAATTTGCTTATAAAGCTCTTATAATTAACACTTACTCATATTATGAATAGCAAAGCGTTTAATGCAGAACTCATTCGTGAAATGTTTTCGTTATAATATAAAAGCAAATTTGAAATATTTATGTGATTTTCTCATAATACCAACATAAGCCAACGTAACTTTTATGCATATAAAATTATACGAATAAGCTTTTCTTTAATCTAAATCCTATATACATATATATATATATATATATATATATATATATATATATATATATATACATATATGTATACCTGGACGTGAACGATGCACAAACACACCGGTACATCAAAATATAAATAGTTTGTTACTATACGTAAATATATATATATATATATATATAAATATGTGTGTATATATATATGTATATCTATATATGTATATCTATCTATACAGTTAAGGCTAATGTCTTTACAAGTCATTATGACGACGTTGATGATATTGTTATTTTTGTTGTTGCTGTTGTTGATGTTGTTGTTGTTGTTGTTGTTGGTAGTTTTCCAGGTATAATAATAAAATTCTATCTCCATCTCTTTCCGTTTCATTTTACTCTTGTCATCCTTTTTGCATGACGTATGATGTACATACAATTGTCGCAACAAATGTGTACATCTGTCAAGTTACTTTTCATATTCATTTCATATATGTGCATACAGAACTGTACATGTTTTATATTCATATTCGTATTGCGTAAGTATGGCAAAGTAGTAGGGGGAAACACACTGTCACAATAAAAAGTACTTATCTTCAACAAGATGGGTCATAAAAATTTATTCAAATAAACAGACATACGCACCCATCCACTCATGGCCATATCAATTCTTAACTACATTCCCACACAAGATTCCGTACACAAAGTAATATAAGTGTAAAATACTTGAGCATACGTACGATGATGTATGTGTAAGTGACAGTTCACAAATATACAGGTGGTGTACCGGTAACGATATCTCGGGTTTTTCTTTAATGTTCTTAAGAAAATGAAACGTTTGTATGCATATACTTCTGGCATATGTAAGGAGAAATCTTCCGTATATTTTTCGGTTTTTTTTTTTTTTTTTTTTTTTTTTTTTTTATGAACACAAACACATACAATAAGAATTATTAGAGATAAAAAAAAGAAAAAAAAAAGAAAGGAAAAAAAATGTTCACAAACTTTTAATTGAAATATCTCTTAAATTAAAATATATGGAAATGTAAGCATACTTTAAGATTATTATTTCATATATGCACACATGTCGAACTTTCAAAAAGTGCTCAAGTTCTCAGTTTGTCATTTGCTGTCGTTTTTGTGTGTATATTTAAGAAAATCCTCATAAATTTCAAGTACGAGTATAGGTTGAATGAAATTTCTTCTCAACTTTAAGGAAGATATACAAAAAAAAAAAAAAAAAAAAAAAAAAAAAGGAAAGATAAGGTTTTCTTGTTTAAGTCGAATCTTAGGTACCTGGCAACGTTCGCCATCTTACCTGTAATACTTAAGGATATGCTACGGAATGGCTATAAAATTAACTGTTGCATGCGATATGGCAGAGAATTTGTTTTGCTACAACCACATTCATAAAGGATGGCGTTATAAGGGCGAACGAACGGAGATAGATTGAAAATAGGACTACTAACCGGAAGCAGCAATTAAAGCAAAGAATAGATTTAGATAATTTAGATAAATGTGTAAAAGAAAAGTTTAGCAAAGTTATTTCTAATTGTGACACTTTTCAAGTATAAAAAATTGCATGCGATAGTTTTGATTATGATGCTGATTGGTCGATCACAAAGCTCTCTCAGGAGCAATGACTATTCATTATTAGTTTCAATGAGTAGACCTGAACAACTCATAACCATAAACAGCGGCCCTATTTTCGTCGATGAATGACTTCTCTCGGAGAAGAAACGATTTCCGCTAAGACTTCAATTATATTTTTGATTCACTTTACGATCGATCAATTTCCAAATTTCAATTTGCTCTCCAAGCTTTATATATTTAAGAAGAATGTATTGATTACGTATAATTATTGTTATAATTAAAACATTTATTTAAACTAAAAATATAAATTTTAAGATTCAAATGTAGGATGAACACTAGCATTCAAGACTATAGGCTCTTTTTTTTTTTTTTAATGTAGACTATGTGGTGAGTCTAGTCTAGTACGAGTACTAGTGCGGTACAAGGGTATATTAAGGTTATGTGGATGTGTACAACACCTAGGAGAAGTTTGGATATATCCAATTTTCATTATACCGATTAATTCAGAACCATTTTCCAAATCGATCTAAGCTTGTTGGTTCGTCTGTCCGTCCATCTTATGTTTTCTTATGTTGAACCTATTTTGATGAGGGACGAACGACGTAAAAAATTGTTTAGATCGGACCATTTTTCCGCCCACTTCACAGTTAGGAACTTGTTTGACATGTCGTCATATGATTATTGAGCAAAATGTTATGCGATATTTAATAACAGGCAAGATCCTACCACAATATTTACACTATGTTTTATTTATTTCGGTCTATTTCCAATTTATTTAATATCTTTTATAAGAAAAAGCTTTACTACCGAATTCCATAAGATATGTAGATGTTAAGCCTACTCCCCTAATCTCATAAGCATTGAAGATGTTTCTTCCTTCCTTCAGCCTCAAAATCTAAGATCTTTCGAGCGTTGGCTTTCATGTTTAGACATTCTTTAACTTTTTCCGTAATGCGCTTGATTGCAAAGGTATTACAAAAATATGTTGTGCTTATGCGTTCTTTCTACCTTAACATGTACATTTGCTTAAAGATTATGCGAACATACGTTGTAAACATTATAATTATAAACACAAATAAATCTTACTGTTCCTCTCCCTTGCCTTTTACAAAAGGTAAAGCTTAGTAAAGTTAACAAGTGCACCATGTCATCCTTTACCGTAGTGGTTATAAGAATTTGTATTTTTTTTTTTTTTTTTTTTTTTTTTTTTTTTTTTTTTTTTTTTTTTTTTT